AACCCTGAGCCGGTGAGATTTGAACCGCTGACCTGCTGATCTAGCAGTAGCCTGCAGTGCTGCATTTAACCACTGCGCCACCTTGGCTCCTAATGCATTTGACTCTTCCTTGAGGCTCAGCCTGGTCATTTCCTACATCCCTCTTCCTATTCTATCTACTACTTTAACTGCACTGGCTCTTAAGGAAGTAGGTTTCCATGGATAAGGGAGGATTTGGGTCTCTTCAGAATCAGAGCCACTACCCCACACTGTCCTCTTTTTCCCTGTCCAGAGTAAACTATAAAATATCTTTTAAACATTAGTGTGGTGTTTATTTGGATTTGTCTTTCAGGACTTTTGTCGATAATAAACTGGTAAATGAATCAAATTTCACGTGCAGAAAAACCAGCCACTTCTCTCAAAGTCAAATCTTCCAGCTTCACACAGTTGTGGAAAGATTTTTTTAAATTATTATTGTCATGGGTGAAATTCACAGAGCTCTGGGTTAGGCAATTTGATTAAAGAATGTACTCATTGTATCTCATTGTTTTAGAGGACTCCTAGCACGTAATCATTTTCTTATGATAAAAGTGATAAAAATATTTAGAAAAGTAAAATTGTCTACATTCATGCTTAATTTTAATCCAAGGAATATTTATATAATTAAACCAGGAGACCAGATTAGTTATGTATTTATTTATTATCAAACTTTTATGCCACCAATCTCACTGAGGTGACTCTAGGTGGCTTACTGTATATGTGACTCAATCTTTTGATAGGCATTTAATACTGAATGATGCTAGCAAGAAGCTACTTATAACACCCAGATGAGCATAGATTAACACCAAGACTATTAAAAGCAAAATGATAATAATCAAAATCATCATTATTATCATCAAAAGCAAAAGTTTTTAAGAAGAGATTGGACAACCATTAGTCTGAAAGGCATAGGGTTTCATGTCTGAGCAGGGGATTGGATTAGAAGACCTCCCAGGTCCCTTCCAACTCTGTTATAGCAATAGCACTTAAACTTATATCCCGCTTTACAGTGCTTTACAGCCCTCTCTAAGCGGCTTACAGAGTCAGCCTCTTGCCCCCAACAATCTGGGTCTTCATTTTACCCACCTTGGAAGGATGGAAGGCTGAGTCAACCTTGAGCCTGGTGAGATTGGAACTGCCAAATTGCAGGCAACCGGCAGTCAGCACTGGTAGCCTGCAGTACTGCATTCTAGCTGTTGCGCCACCACGACTCAACCACAGGTTATTCT